AATGGCATAGTGCGCGCCATGAAGAATAGAGGATTTTCTTTTTGATACAAATCACTAAAATGTGTTTTTTATACTTTTTTATTCTTTTGTGTTTATTTATGTTGTTTTTGGTTTTAAAACATTTTCTAGTAATAAATACATGAATAATGAATAAATAGTGATATGTAAATAAATGTTTTGCAGTATACAATACTGTATTGCAGACCTTGTTTTGAATAGAGAATGCTTAACAAAATAACCTAATGTGAATTTGATGTCATAAAATTCTCTTTATTTTTTGCAATAACATTAATTACCAAAAAAATAGTTAAATATTATTTAACTTCTTTTTTATTATTACTATAAGCGAATGTTCATTTTCTTTTTTTTTTTTTCTAATATGAGTTTCTCGTTTGACTTGTCAAACCAGAGTGTGTTTTGTTTGATGCTAGAACTAACTAAATTTAATTCAGTAAAGTCTCATTCATTTACTGTTACGTTTATCTGTCCCTGCATGCTTTAAAAACCTTTATTTATCTAGTTTTTTTCTTCACATTTCAACTTATTGGAACTCTCTCCCATTCTTATGTTTTCCTGACTCGTACAACCTTTAACTTTTAAAGTCTTCTGTCAACCGTTTCCTTGCTCTGTAACTCTATTCTTTTTTTTCTAGTCACTCCCAACTTAATATGGTTATGTGCAGCCTTGTTGGGAGTGAATAAAGAAATAAGAAATAAAAAATAAGAAATACATATATAAATTACCAATATTTAGAGTACCAGTTATACCATTAAAAAAGAAAAGTTTTCTTTTAAAAGAAAAATTACAACTAGTTATTTAAGCTATTAAAATTAAAATTATGTAATTTATGTAACTATTTATTATGAAATTTTTGGGGGAACAGTTTTATTGATTGGTACACTGGGTCTGAATGGCTGTCATATAGTTTTTTTTTTTTTAAATAACAATCAATTATTTATTGTGTCAGAGATATTCATAGGTGTGATAAAATGGTTTTTAAAATGAGTTTTATTTTTTTTAAATCTATTGGTTTAGATGCTGCAAAAATTTTCAGAAGATGACCGTATCGATCAAATGAATGCACAAAAAAGAAGATTGAAACAACAAGAACATAAACGTGCTGTTGAAAAACTTATTGAAGAAAGAAGAATTTATCAGCAACAAGATAAGGTAAATATTTAAAGTATAATACAATTAGGAAAATATCTAGCTAATAATATATACTGTTTAATCCAATACAAAAGTTAAAATTAAATATCAGCAACTAAAGGATTTTTTTAGCAACGTGCACTTGAAGAACAAAAAGAAATTGAACTTATTGAATCTCACCGAATGCAAATTATTGAAGAAGAAAGACAACGCCTATTGCAAGAACATGCCAGTAAACTTGTTGGATTTTTGCCAAAGGTATTGATTTTTTTATTTTTGCAGATATTTATTATTGTTATCATTATTACTAAATACAATTTTTATTTTTTGTAAAATTAAAATATTAATTAAAATACTCTATTAATCTATTAATTTTAATTAGTATCTATTTAATATTTTAATTATATCTATTATAGACATATCTATTAATGTCTTTATATGTTATTATATCTATTATAGACATATCTATTAATGTCTATTTTAATTGCTACATATATTCAATCTAAAAATAATTTGTATTCGATTTGGATTCACCTATAGTTTGACAAATTAGGTTGATGTTGATTTGCCAAAAAAAAAAAAGAAAAATAAACTTTTAATAAATCTGAATCACAAAAAAATATTGGATGCAATTCATATCATTGGTGATGCAATTCATATCATTGAAGAGAGTGAAAAGCTGAAGTTATAATTTTATTGATTTATAATTTTATAAATAAAATCAAAATCTTCAGCTAAATAAATTCTTCATTCTTACCATTAAGTTTTTTGGATTTTTTAATTTTTTTTCTTTTTTTTTCTCCTTTTGTCAATGTTTTTATAATTTTGAAAGGCATTTTTTCAATTTTTCAATTTCAAATTTCATTTTTTCATGACAAATTTTCAACTTTTTAATGATTTGGTGGAAGAACCTGTATATGCCCATGGTCATTAGTTTCCATTTTTTAACTGGAGAACCATAACCATCATGATCAGAGTCCAAATCTTGAAGTTGAAAACTCGGAAATAAATTTAATAATCCTTCTAAGTCTGATCCACTGCCTTCTGCATCAGTGTCAACTTCTTTTGCTTGTTGTAAATAAAACTCTAAATAAAACTCTGCTGTCAACTTCTTTTGCTTGTTGTAAATAAAACTCTAAATGAAAGGGTAGTACTCTTGATAAAGTATTATCGCTTTGATTTTCTTTTATCCCTATTATGATTAGTTACTTCAACAAACTTTAATTTAAAATCTGGTTCAAACATTATTTTAATTTAGCTTTGCTACAGCACTGAACAAACCATGAAAATTTCCTGCCAATGTTCAAAAAATAATAAATTGTGTTGCTTGCTGCTTGCGTAGTTCTCTAAAAATATTCATTTGAATATTAGGTTTTAAAGTATGTATAGCGCATAGCAGATGTTTATTCTGTTTGGAATGCTTTACTAAGAAGTTTGCTGATATTATGAAATTGTGTGAAACTGCGGAAAGTATGTAACTAATAACATGATATGTCTAATTTTATACTCAGCTGTCAGGTGTGCTGCATGTATAACAATTACTAGTTAAAATCTGCCCTATTCATGGCGTTCTAGAAATTCAGTCCTTGACATTACGCTAAAATTTTTATTGACTGGAGGCTGAGTGAAACACTAATAAATAAAGTAAGTGCGGACATGGAGAGCAAAAAAAGTATAACAATAACAATATATAAAAACTACCTTAGTTAATAAACTATAACTTTTTATGTGAGAATATTTTATATTTAAATAAATATTTTAAATTACATATAACACATAGACTTGATGGTCAATTGTGTTGTTTTTTTCTAACTGTTGATTTTTACCATCATAATCAATGAACTTTACAAATAAAAAAATACTTTAAAATTATTTTATTTAATTTAAAATTATTTGCATTAATAATTCAAAATAACTCTTGTTGTTGCAAAGTTTTTTATCAGATTAAAATTGAAGATTTGAGTAACACCTAAGTAATTTTCAATATTTTTATTTTGTTCAGAATTTAACTTTATTTTTAGTAAACTAGTTTAAATTATAAAAATAATATAATATTTATTCCCATAGCAAGCTTTGTTTAAAGCCTAACATAATTTGCACCCCTATTTCTAAAGGGGATGGGGCATTTGTCAATATCTATTAAATTGGCCTACAAGTTACTGAAAACTGTAAAATTATATGTAAAAAGATTTGATTGAATATTTACAGTATTTTACAATTTTTTCTTGATTTAAAAATGTTAATGATTAATGAAAGGCAAAAAGTTAAAAAAAGTTTTTTTTAAATTTGAACTATATAAAAATATAGTTCGCAATAAAAATAATGATTTCGAGGTCATAAATTCCATCGCTATGTTGAAATAAGTGCTTTTGATAATACAATTTTAGTAATACCAATACTTATTAATTTAGAAAAATGCAAAAATATGCTTCAAAGGACCAAGCTGTCAAGCCCGAATGAAATAAGGAAAAATTGAGAAATTAGTAGGAAAAATGATTTGTTAAAATTCAATTTCAGTTAAAATCTGACATTCAATCTATGAAAATGCTTGCAATGAAAATTTATGAAAACTCTTTTTGGACTTGGATGTCATCATCATATTTTAGAGTTAGTTATTTTGGAAAATATTATTTCAAAAAGAGACAACAACTGATACTTTATAGATTTTAAAACTATTAAATTCGAGCAGCCAAAGCGCTTTGGTAGCGCGCTTGCCTCAGATGCAAGGGTTCTGTGGTTCTGAACCCACCTTTGAGCAAGTTTAGTGACATTGAATATGAAGGAGGCATAAAATTCATGTTAAATTCTCTTTCCCAGTGCTCTTTGATAAGACCATAAAGTTTTTATAATGGTTGAAAATCACAAAAAAAGTTCTAATTAGAAGCAATTGTTTACTGGTTTACCACAATGCAAGTAATAACTGCTTTTATAACCCCTTTTTAAATGATATAATGCCTTGATTACATAATATTTGTTTTATTTGGAGAAAAAAAACTATTTGGGGACTTTCAAATAATGCGTGACAGTCTTATGGGGAGGGGTTTCGAAAGCTTTAACAAATATTACATGGGGAGGGTGGTTAGCTACAGTGTGACGTGACAAAAAAACTTTTAATTTCAATTCTTATTATAGCGGAAATAGTAAAATTTTAGTAAAAAATAAATAAACGCGAAGATATATTTGATTTTAAAATAATAGCACAGCACATACTAGACGAGGGGAGGATGGGGGAGGAGGAGTTGGTAAACATATCACAAAATGTTACATGGGGAAGTCTAAAAAAGTTCAAAAATGTGTTGCTTATTATTTAAACAGTCTCTAATGACAAATATTTGCTATAGATATACAAATCCTAATTGTTTTCACTTTTAAAGAAATACCTATTTTTGACATATGTTATGCTAAAAATCACTATAATCAAATAAAATTCAGCAGCACTTAATAATGTTTTTTTCCAATTTTTTTTAACAGTTTGTTTTCATATGTGAAAAGAATCATATTTTTTTACAGACATGCGAAATTTAAAAAAATTTTTGTTTTTGGCCTATTCTAATATAATATATATATATATATATATATATATATATATATATATATATATATATATATATATATATATATATATATATATATATATATATATATATATATATATATATATATATATATATATATATATATATATATATATATATATATATAGTAGTATAGCTTTACTTATGTGATGTAATAACTAAAAATCTGAACAAAATGTTTTATAAAACTATAAAAGACTTTAATATACTTGTAACAAATATTTTTTTTTATATGCATATAAAAATACAAACTTTTAAAAAGAAAAGGAAACAGCATGAAAAGTATAACTTAGTATGACTTGTTAAATTAAATTTTTTTTTGATAAACAAGAAAATCTTTTTAATTATTAAAACCCTTTTATAAAAAACATGTTTCAACTACCACTAGTCATCTTCAGTTAAAATATTTAAAATTTGTTCAAATACCTATAAAATTGATATAAAAAACAATACAACATGTAATTATCTGTGCACAAACTGTTAATAATTTAATTTCCAAAGGACAATAAAATATAATAAAAAATTTAATGTCATACCAAAAAACAAATAGGAAGTTAAAAAGTTAAAAAGATACACAATATATATTAAAAGTAATAGCTGAACAAAAATCTTTTGGACTCTTCAAATTCCTGTAAAAGTTATGTGAAATTTTTGTTATCAGCAAAAGCTTTCACCAATGAACATTGCAAAATGAAACTCCAGAGTATCATGTTCTTATTGCCTATTTTCTTATACTAACATGGAGATTAACCTTTATTGCAATACTGTGTCAAAAATTATTGTTTAGCAAGCTGTTAGTTGATTATAAATCATATCACTATATGATAGACGCATTGACTGAAGTGCAAAGCTGCTTTATGAGGCACTAGGGATTCAATATTCGAAGAACAAACATTGAATGTGGTGTTAATTGATCGAAGAACTTCTTCAAAAATCATAAAAAGGGGAATATACAAATGTGAAATTTATTAAAAGAATGACTTGTAAAGTATTTTAATAGTTCATCTTTTTATGAAATTAACTATTATCTTTATTAACTAATGTATATGGATATATTTTCATATATTAAGTCTTTTGACACTTTGTTTTTTGTTAGTACATATGTACATTCTGTTTTTTCCTTAAGTGTCTGAGGCTACCCGACTTTCCCTACTTTTAATAGGTTTTGAAAGAATTTCACTGACGTTTAAAGCCATATGTCCACTTTTTAAAATTTGTTTATTTTAGTTTCTTTTATTCATTGTTTATATTAAAAATGAGTTTTATATTGAATCGATGTTTATTTTATTTTTATTTTCTCAACTATTTCTTATTTAGACTTATTCCATAATAATGGTTAAAAAGCTCTAAAAGTATTTTATTATTTTTCAATAAAATAAAAATATAAACTAGACATAGGGTTATAAATATAGACAGGATTAATTTAAGCCTTACCTTGTATATGTAAAAAATCTTTTATGTATTCATTAATGATACAATATGCTAATTTACTACTTTTTAGATTAGATATATAAGTTTATAACTAATAAATAAAAATATACAAGCAATATTGGATTTAGAAAAATTACCATTATTACTATTTTTCAGAAAAAGTATAATGACAAAGGAGAAACAGCAAGTTGATCTGGATCCGGAAAATGAAAAAAATTACAAAAAAAGAAGATAGATGGATTGCTGCCCTTAAAAATTACTGCATTTCTACAAATGAGATAAAAATAGAAACTGGTATTACCAACATCTCAAGAAAATCTATAATTCACCGTTTACATGAGGGGAAAAATTTAGATTCTCTTTGGGCTATCAGTAAGTCTTTTCTATCAAAAGTCAACATTGCGCGTAGGCTTCAATGTGTAGTAAGCATAAAGACTGGACTATTGCCAAATGAGACAAGTTATTTTGTCAGATGAATCTTATTTTGGCTTTAGATCTGGTCATATATTCTGTGTTTGGAGTAATGAAAATTATCATCTTGAGTATATTAAACTGTTAAGCATATAAAAAAGATAAACATATGGGGGTGCAGAGGCGGCAGATGAATTCACAAGATTAAAAAAATTATGGATCAATACCAGTGCCATGTGATCCTTGTTTATCATGCAAAGCCAAGTTGTATGGAATTATTTCTAGATAGACTACCTATTTTAACAAGATAATAATTATAAGCACACTGCAAAACCTAACAAAGCATATGTTATAAAAAACATTCTGACCTTGAACTGGTGGCCTAATCAATCAGCCGACCTATATCTAATTGAAAACCTATGGATAATACTCGAAGATGCATTTAAAAAAAGAACCTGAAGCTTTTCTTTTCAATTGCCTTAAAGAAGCATGGAATAACTTAGAGCCATTTTTATTAACAAGGCTTATTGATAGTATGCCTCAGAGAATCAATGCAGTTCTTGCTGTAAAAGGTGTTGTCTAAGTACTAATTTAGGAAATTTTGTTTCTACCAAAAAGATTTGATAAGATAATAACGTTATTATTATTTTGAATACTTTTATATTTGTTAAAACAACATTAAACTATAAAAGTTTTTTTTTTTTTAATGGTGTGACATTGAGTTTCTTCAAAAAACAATTTGGTGTTCTTTCTTTTTTTTCTCACAATATTGTTTAGTCTTTTACGTCTTAAAAAGTTTAATTTAAGAGCGATTTTTTTTCTTCTCACAATATTGTTTGGTCTTTTACGTCTTATTGTTTTTAGTATTGGATATAATATATTCATGATATTAATTAAACTTGTAACATTACAATTTCATTGTCGCTATCTAGATATCACAGCCTTGTAGCTATTGATATTATTATGATATATCGTTATCTACGATATATCGTTATATACGATATATCATTATCTACGATATATCTTTAGCTATATATCGTAACATTGTAGCTAGCTACAAAATAACGAAAATCAGTAGCTAGTGGATTGCTAACATCTCAGCTTTGTAGCTAGTGATATTATTACAATATATTGATGGCTGTAGATCGTAGGTATGCTGCTAAACACAGCATAACAACAATCTAAAGATGCTAGCTAGCAAATGGTTATAAAAAATAATACAATTCGGGTGATATAAATAGCTGACATTGTTATTTAATAACGCCAGTTGTGTATAATTGGTTTACGAAACCATCTGCGATAATAGTATATAAGATAATAATATGTAATAATAGTTATATTAAACTCGTGGCCTTTGTCTTTTTCGTTACGACTATCGCTAGCTAATCGATAGCCGATTTCCCACTAGGATATATATATATATATATATATATATATATATATATATATATATATATATATATATATATATATATATATATATATATATATATATATATATCCCTTATATGAACATGCATTAGAGTTGTGTTTTTCAGTTTAATAAAATAGTTCTTAAAAAGGCTAATATTTTTTACTTTATTAAGGGCGTTCTTCGTGATGCTAACGATCTTCAATTGTTTGACGAACGATTTCAACAAATATATTCAAAAAGAAAATCAGATATTTTTGACTAAACACTATCGTGATATTATATACTTGTGTGTATACATTATATACTTGTGTGTCTTGATATACATACTTGTGTGTATATATTATATACTTGTTTGTCTTAATATATTGATACTTGTGTGTATTGATTTGTTAAGTGTTTGTGTGTTAAAAAGAGTATTTTATTTTATATTAAAAATAAGTGAGTACACTGTTTTATTATATTATCTAGAAATAGTTTTATTGTATTAAATAAAAAAGCCTATATATATATATGTATATATACATATATATGTATATATACATATATATATATATATATATATATATATATATATATATATATATATATATATATATATATATATATATATATATATATTATATATATATATATATATATATATATATAAATATATATATATATATATATTGAGATTATTTTCAAAAGTTTTTTAGCTTGTCGTATTTATCAAGATACGATAAAAATGATTAATAAAATATATACTTGACTTACTGAATATTATTGCGATGTGGTGTTTGATCTTTTTGAGTAAATTTGTGTAAATTAGTTTATTTATTAAATTTTACTTAAGTTTATTTTAAATTGTAATTTAGTATTTCAGTTTATAATTATTATTATATATCTTCATCGCTCTTTTAAATTTTTTTTTTTTTTTTATTTTTTTTTTTTTAGTTATTCATTTCAAAACGTTTTAAAATTTAGTAATATGATTTTGAAACCACAAAAGTTTATTTTTCCCCCTGGTTTCTTTTTTATAAAGTTTTGATAAACTTTATTATAGTAAAACTTTTGTTCTAAATTTCCCCAACCAATGTTTTACTAGAAGATTTTTGTGCGTTTTTTTGCCCTGGTTTTTTTGCTTTAAATTTTTATTTTCAAGTTAATTACAATTAATTTGTATCAACAAACAACGTCAACAAATTACGTCAACAAACAACGTTATTGTCTGATTTACTAACTATCTGATATTGGTTTATAAAATTTAAAAACTTAATATAGAATATATATTTTTTTAATTAACACTAAATAAGCCAGTAAACGTCTAGAGGTTATTCAAGAAACAGAAGATATGTTTCCGTTGTTTTATATCAATTTTTATGTTGCAAACTTAAAAATCATAAGAGGTGGAATCGCTCTTTTGGTTAAAAAGACATAAAGATAAACCCATATATTAGGAACAGTTCCTTTTACTTCTTATTTTTGGAATAACTTGGATATAATCCAAAGACTTTAAGGTTTCTAGCGTGTAAATTTGGAAGATATTAATTAAAAGGTAAACCTCTAATTACAAAAGTGTCACAAATTCCTGTTGAATTAGAAATTAAGAAAATTATCAAATTTAACACATAAATGCAATCATAATAAACAGATGTAAGTAAAATTACTGATCGATGACTTCATTAATAAAATTTTAAAGAATTTTTTAAAAAAAGGCTGTTATCAGGTAGTGAACCAACCGTGGTAAAGTTTTAAAAAAATTTGGACAAATAACTCTTAATGAATAACACTTAATAAGAATTATTATTATTTAGTATATTAATATACTAAATAATAGTTTAGTTTATATAAGTATATTAAATATTATTTAGTATATTAACATACTAAAGTTAGCTAATCATTAGTTTTTCTAGCGATCCTCGTGACTAAATCGCTGTCTTTATCACTACAAGCTGTCGCTTACTAGTTGCTAGTTGATTTAGCTAGCAATCCACCTGACTGAAATGCTATTGCTTACTGTTATGAATATCGCTAGCTATTCGCCTGTTAATCGCTATCCGCCAGATAATCGCTATTCGCTAGGCGATTTTCAACTGCGATTTATAAAATGGGATTTCTCACTAGGTTAATAAGATAAATATTGACAGGTTTCACAATTAAAGATAAGTAACGTAAACTAGTAAAAAAAGGTAATAAAGTTATATATTAAAAAAAGTCATAGTATATAAGTTGATATAATAAAAGTTATAATAAAATACAATTATAAAATGAAGAAATCTTAAAATACTTTAGATAAACTAATTAGATTTTACCTAGTGATAAGTTGCTAATAAATACATTATAAAAAAACAAATAAATGAAAAACAATGCAGGTATAGATCTAAAATTTTTCAAACGCGTCATAATCGCATCTATTTAATATACTGGTTTTTCTACATCAAAAGACGTCCGATAGTTACATCATAGAGACGTTTTTTATTTTATAAATTAAAGAGTAATTAATTGTTGCAGATTAAACATACTTTAGTTTTCATTTAGTTTTTTTATTTATTTTTTTTAATAATGTTCAACAAAATTTCTAATTTTAAAACTGATTCAATGCTCGATTGCCCCAGCCACAATCAGCAATTCTAAATACATATTTCTCAAATAATTTTAAGCCTCTCTCAAGAAGATTAAAGTATGTTACTAACCCTGTCAACATCTGAAATAAAATTTTTAAGGTCAGGGTAAAAACATCAGTTCATGCTATGTCTAATAACATCTGTCCAACAACATCTGTAAATATAATGATGCATAACTACAAAAAAGATGTAACTACAAATGTAGTTACATCTTTTCAATTATTTTAAGTATAACTACAGGATTTTATGAAATTATTAAATTATAATGCAATACTTTAACGAGATGTAGTTTCATATATGGTTTTTTCAGATGTAGTTACATCTGAAAAAAAAATATATATAAATGCATTATTTCAACCAGATGTAGTTACATAAAAGATTTTTTTTCAAATGTAATTACATCTGGAGGAAATTCTTCCAGATGTTATTGGAATTTACCACATGTAGTTACATCTTCCTAAAGATGTTTTTAGGGGTCATTGCATTTCCATATGATATTGGACAGATGTTGTTTGAGTAAAAAAAAAATACAGATGATCTGGGACAAATGTGTAAAGGTGATCTTGGACTACTCTACAGATGTTGTTTGGCAGATGTAGTAATCTTTTACCATTTTTTATGAATTGCTATTAAGGCCAAATCATTCATTTTTTAAACATCCTGCTATTTATGTAGGTTTTTAATAATCTGATATGGATCCTTTACATTGCCATTTTGTTTAATATACCTAAAATAAAAAATACTTTAATGATTTTCAGAAAACTAGCCATATTTCATTATTTTTGATTTTAAAAATACTGGATACTCATCTTTTTTTTAGTTTTTCCAAAACGCTGGTCATAATTATACTTTTTCATTAATAGAGGTTAGATGCACATATTTTAGGCTTTAGTTACCACATGTTTTAGGCTTTAGTTACCACATGTTTTAGGCTTTGGTTAATTTACATCTAGAGAAAAAGCTCAAAAGCAATATTATACCGTTACACAATGGGTCAAGATTGTATTGTTATACAGTGGGCCAATATGTATCGTTACACAGTAGGCCTAGATTAAAGAATTCTATGCTTTTGAATAGTTTATAGTATTAACATTTATTTCTTCATCTGTAAGAGGAAACTGTGAAAAAAATTTTGAAATATATGTCCAGCATTTTCATTTTCTTAACCATAATCTGTACAAAAGACAACAGATAGCTTTACTTAAACAACAAAAATATATTATTTTAACATGTACTTTGTTTCGAAGGCAAATTTAAAAAGTAAGAAACGTCTTTAAATTGCAAAATAATAATAAACAAATATGGTCTTGTGGTTTTCTGAAATCTTGCTGTAATCTCTTTATATTATCCTGATAAAGCTGCAGCATCAACATTTCCTCTTAGATGTAAAGACCAAGACTATTGGCATAGAGAGTATACTTTCAGTCATACACAATCCAATAGAGCCAAATTTACAATACCTAGGAAAATTGTCACAAGTTATAGTTACTGCCAGCAATTGCGGATCGTCGTATGGGGCCATAAGGACGTGGCCCCACCTATATTTGTTTAAAATAAAGTACTTCTTTATGTAAATATATGCTTATATGTGTGTAAAAATGTAATTACTTTTCTAAATAATTTGCACAGAGGTTTTATAAAACATAAAGTTTTAAGTTATTTAGATTTTACATTATTTTACTTCACAAGTAATATTTTTAGTTACAATTTGCTTATAAGTATTGTAGTGTTATTTTATTTAATTCGTATTTGTTGTGTTATTTTAATTGATCCTGGCTGGGCTGATTTTTACTAGCCCTATTTAATATCCACACATCATAAAAATTTATGATGCGCGCAGAGAGCTTATTTTGAACGAAAATTGCACCGCCTGGGCCTTTTTGAAGTCGGCTAAAATCTTGATAGGCATTTTACATTTTTAATGAATTTTAAAAGATTGCTTGTAGGTCACTATCTATCAGAGAATTAAATTTATTTTTATATTCTTTATTGTTTTATTGATTTTTAATTTAAGTTATTTACATACCATGTCCTGAGGAAATTATCAGTGGTTTTATTTAGGAAACTTAATATATATATATATATATATATATATATATATATATATATATATATATATATATATATATATATATATATATATATATATATATATATATATATATATATATATATAAACAGCCTTAGTGAAGCTGTGAGCGCTGAAAATAGAGATCCGTGGATCAACGCTACCTATGGGCAGGTGGTTTTGAAATAATTTCGCAAAGTAAATCAAAATGTGATTTACTTTGCGAAGTTAGTTTTAGTAAGATACCGAGAAACGAACTGAGAGTTAGTGAACACGGCGGAGTTTTCGTTCAAAAATAATAAGTTTCTTAAAAGAAAACAAATCAAACCTTGTGGAATGTTTTAAGAAAATTTTAAACAATGAAGGATGGTATGATACAAACGTGTGGCAATCGTTTGCTTTCAAAAATGTCTTAAAAATTTAGAATTCAACTTTTTTTATGTACTTTACAACATATTATCAAACAACAGCAATTTATTTCTATTAAGGTAGATTTTGAGTTATTCATAAAGTTTGTACGCAGTTAAATCAATGTTAATCTTCTTGTATCGATTCTTAACGATGGAAGGAAAAAACCTGAAAACCGAACGAAAAGACACAAACGAACTACTAATAGAAGATGCTAAAGGAGATTCTGATAAAATAATTAGCAAAATTAGCAAAAGAAGTTTTGAAATATTTAAATCATTTTCAATTTTTGATCTGAAAAATTTCAATTTTAATAGGTAACATTTTCTTCGGGATCACACACACACACACAGATATATATATATATATATATATATATATATATATATATATATATATATATATATATATATATATATATATATATATATATATATATATATATATATATATATATATATATATATATATATATATATATAGTTAGTTAGTTAATTAAGTTACACAAAGCCGCAGCCTTGTTAAACTCATCATCACCTGAATATACGCATCTATACCCAACTCGTATGTGGGCCACTTTTGTATGGCATTTACGGTAAATGATGAGCTGTAGCAACTATGATGACTGAAAACTGTCAAGTAGTTATTTAAATTTATTCCAGTCATTGACTACACGGTTGTTAAAAAACTTATGTCTGATTTCGCAGTTCCGGACTATCTCGCAATGAAATTTGATTTGATATTGAGCTTTGGGTGCTTTATTGCATTAAGGCATTACGTGCCAATCAATTAGGTTTAAATTGTTGAGAAGCTTATATTTTTGAACAAGATTGCCTCTTTTCCGTCTGTCTTTAAGGGTGGTTAAATTCATGATTTTACATCGAGTTTTGTAGTCTTTATTTTTCAAAGCCTGAGGAACTTTTGTTGCGTTGCGTTGTACCTTTTCAATTTTTTTATGTCACAATCAAGTTAAGGGTTCCAAGCTTGTATGGCAAACTCCAGATGTGGTCAGATATGCAGTATAAATTTTTTTCCAAATGTCAATGTCTCTTGATACAAACGTGTGTTTAAGAATTCCAAGCATATTATTTGCTTTGTTTGCAGCTATATTACACTGTTGAGCATATTTAAGATTCTCGGAAATTAGAATTCTGAGATCTTTTTTGGAATTTGTGACTTCTAAAACTACTCTATTGGTTGTACCGTCATTTTTGATTTCATCCATAATGTAATCAAATTTTATTGTTCCAGAGTTTTCATAACTTTACATTTTTTTGCATTTAACTCCATTAGCAAGGTTTTGCGTCTATATAACAATTTTATCCAGATCGGATGGTAAACCTGCTCGGTCTTCATCATTTTCAACTACTTTCATGAGATTTGTGTCATCTGCATACATTTTGCAAATGGCTGATTTGACATGAGTTGGCAGGTCATTAACAAATATGACAAAGAGCGTTGGTCCTAACACAGAACCTTGGGGAACCCCGCTAGTTACATCAATACAATCAGATTTTGAATCTCAAAATCTCAAAAGTATAACACGCTGCTTGCGGCTTGTTGAGAAGGCTTTTATCCAGTTTAGAAGATTGCCATTTATACCATACATTTCAAACTTTTGCAGCAATCTTACATGCGAAACTTTATAGAATGCCTTTGCAAAGTCAAGAAAAATTAGGTCGACTGGTTTTTTCTTTGATTTGCTCAAAAAGTTAAAAAGTCCATTGTTTCTAAAAGATTTGTGATGCAAGTCTTTTTTGAAACAATACCATGTTGAGTTTTGGAAAGCAATTTGTTATTTACCAAATGATCGACTATGACTTGTCTAATATATATATATATATATATATATATATATATATATATATATATATATATATATATATATATATATATATATATATATATATATATATATATATATACATATATATATATATATATATATATATATATATATATATATATATATATATATATATATATATATATATACATATATATATATATATATATATATATATATATATATATATATATATATATATATATATATATATAATATAATATATATATATATATATATATATATATATATATATATATATATACTAAAATTCGAAGTTCTATGTTTGTTTTTTTTAATTTTCTTCTTTCCTTTATCACTTTTTTTAAATTTTCATCGTTTTGTCTGTTGAATTTTACTTATTTATTTTTCTTTTATTATGATCATTTTATTAGTTTGATGTAGTATATTAACATTAATTATTAGGTATTTAATATATTTTAATATTTAATATATATATTTATTATTTTTTATTTAACATATTTTGACTTTTTTTTAATTTTATATATTTTAGTATTTAATATGTTTTAATAACCTATTTAATATATTCAATAACTAATTTACTAGAAAAAAAAAAGTAAATTTAACAATTTAGTAAATATTAAGTAAATATATACTTCATATATGCCACCCCTCTGCGTCAGGTTGTGATGGTGACGTCAGTGAAGTCTGACACAAAGTTGCAAAAACTAATGTCGTAAAGTAAAATGTACGTAGAAAATATAAAACTTGTTTTACTTAAAACATGTTATATTTAATATCCTAACATATTCAATACGAAGATATTTTACATCATTGTCGTTTTTTCTTTCATAAATTGGTCGAGTAATTTTATATGTGTATCCAAGATTGGTCACCCATCTCCAGACAGTTTTAATTGATACATTTACATTTAAAGCATATTTATTTTCAATTATAGTTGTCGTTGTGTTATCGTTTATAAGCTCTTCAATTCTTCTTCTAATCTCTTCATTATAAATAACGTGACGAGCGCCACCTCTAGAACCAGGAGGTGTTGAATTCGTTCGATCGTACCATCTTAAAATTGATTGTATTGTGTTTCGATTAACTCCTGTTAACGATGAAGCTTCAGATTGAGTTTTTCCTTGATCAACGGCTAGATTTACAACAAGATCTCGCATGTTTTGGGAAACATAATTTCGCGGCATGAAGATTCAGATTGAGTTTTTCGTGGCAATGAAATTTCAGATTGAATTTTTCTTTGATCAACGACCAATCTCAAAACAAATTTTCGCTAATTTTTGCAAACAGAATTTCGCTGCATGTTTTAATGAAAATCTAATATCCTCATGCGCTAAATATTTTAATAGGAAATCATGGTTGTTTTAATTATCGTCATGCATGTTTTAATTGAACATCATGGTTGTTTTGCCAATAAAGTATGTGTATAAAAAATATGTAAAAAAATATGGTTTTGCATCCATTTAAAACAAACGTGACATCCATTCAAATCCATTAAATTAAAATAAATTAATATAATATTAATAAAAATAAATTTATATAATATTAGATAAATAAATATATAAAGAAGACCTTTTTTTAAAAAATAATATAAAAATGTTGAGATTACGCATGGGTTAAATGTTTTAAATGAAAATCACGATTGTTTTAATTGAAAATCACATTGTTTTAATTGATTGTCGCGGTGTTTTAAATGAATGTCATGGTTGTTCTAAATAGTTATCATGATTGTTTTAATGGATGTAAAAACCGGTAAACGTGCCATTTTAAAGCTTTTTTTGGTTAAAAATTTCTTAAAATCAACAGTCTAATTTGAAAATTTGAATAAAATGAAGAAATAGCACAGTTATTAATAAAAAATGTCGAAAAATCAAAACCTGAAAACTATCGGTTAAAACAAAAAATATTTATTTTTTGCGTTTAAAAAAAAAAACAAAAAACACGAATATGACTACATGAGCAGTCTTGTTTGCATTTTTTATTTATTTTAATGACGCGTCAGGTTGTGATTGGGACGTCAGTGAAGTCTGACACAATGTTGTCAAAACTTGTCGTAAAGTAAAATGTACGTAGAAAATATAAAACTTGTTTTACTTAAAACATGTTATATTTTAAGGAGCGTAAAAATGTAAAAAAAAAAATTATTTCGCAAATTTTAATCGTGTATTTAAAACGTTACCGAGCTAACGTAGTTAAATTCTTTTTTACGGAAAATGCGATTTAAAAAATGGGTTCACGATATATTATTTTCAAAATATTTCTTCGTTCTAAAATCTTGAAGTTAAACTATAAAAAGTGTTTTAAACTATATACAAGTATTTAGCTAATAAAAGTATTTTAAATTATTTTTTTCATGTTTTTTTTTACTATCATAAATACGAATTAAATGATAAATATAACCGCTTAGAAACAAATATACGAGGTTTTAAATACATATAAATTTAATTAAGTCATAACTTATGAAAATATTTTAAATATTAATTTAGTTATTATCTAGTTATATAAATAGTTCGTTAGACAAATCGTGGATTGTTATTGTTTTTGCTGATGTTATTTTTATTATTGTTGTATTTGTTGTTAATTATTTTTAATACTATCATTATTACATATTAATATTGTTTAACATTTTTCTGTGATATTTATTAATGTAATTATTATTTTTGCTATTATTATTACAAATAAAATCATATTACTGTCAATACTATATCTAATAGTATTATTGTTGTTATTATTATTCTTATATTAATATTATTATTATTATTAGTACTATTATTATAATTTTCCTCAATATTTTTATTTTAATATTATTGTATGATTGTTATTATTATTTAATTGGTGTTTACCTTAGATTAGAACTCGTAATATTTGTAAATAATCATGAAATGTAATAACTTTTATTTCAGATTATATAATGTTATTGTTTTTATTGTAGTATTAGTATTATATATTAATAATATATTTAGCTTAAGTATATTAAATGCTGACATATGAAGTCTTATAACTTTATTAATGTGAATAAGTATTTAATCAATTTATTAAATAATTTCTTTAAAATATTTATTTAGCAAAAGAACGCATATTAAAAGTGTTTAACATTGTTCATATTTAAATACAGAAAGATAATTGCTTAAATATTGACTCATTTACATTATGGGTAAGTTTTTTTTTTTTTTTTTCTAACGCACACACACACATACACATTTTTTTTTTTTTTTTTTGATTAAAAAAAAAAGGTTTTAAATAATTTTTAGTCTTGATAATATTATAATATAAACCTAAATAATTTTTTTCAATATTTTTTTTTTACTTTATACATTAACATTTTTTTGATATGATGAAATTTTTTTTAAATCAAGGAGTTCTAAAAGTTTATGCAATTTTTAATTTGATCTTGCACAAAATAAATCCAATACTATTTTTCAATTTTTCTACTGACTCAAAGATTTTTTGAAGTATAAGCAAATAGCTATACTAAAATAATGCAGTTATTAAAAAATTAGGAATAATTTATCTAAAACTACTTAAATATGGAAAACTATATTTTTAAAATTATATTTAGCAATCTTTGTTTCAATCGTTTACACAAAAATAATCATACTTTAAGTTTCTGGATCCACGGTCATGTGCAACAGGGTTAGTTGAGAGTTGATTTTTCCTTTTTTTTTTTTCATGCTTTTAATGGAAAATACAATTGTTACAAAATTCTATATTGATAGCAAAAAAATATTGAAAACCTAATCTATTATCTAACTTAATAGTATCTATGAAGCAAATGTATCAAAATCAATGTTTAGAGATACACAATATCAGTCTGCAAAATTCTTGTTTTGTACTTTTGATTTTTCACATTAATCTGAATACCAGGTGTGATGAGTTGAGCTTTTTATTAGTTATTTATCTCTAACTAAGGTTTTCTTATAAAGTGCATATGTCAAATAGGCTGGGACTTCTTTAACACATACATTTTTTTTTTTAATGTTAATTCACCTCCCCAAGGGCAAGAAGGCCACATCAGATGAGGAGACTACTTAATTATAGTTATAACTTTCTCTTAACTCTATAACTCCAAAACACAAACCTTGACAAACAAGGTCACTGCACAGAGAAACAAGTTGAGCGCATTACTACCAGGTGGTGGGGATGGAACTCAGAGAAATTAGTTAAGCGTGTTACTACTACATGGTGGGGATCGAACTTGGAACCTCTTGCTTGTTAAGCGAGTGCTCTACCACTACACCACTACTGCAATTAAAACAATTAATACAACATAAAACATTGAACTCATAGAACATTGAACTCAAATTAGAAATTGCACATTTTCAAGATTTTGTTTGTTTCATTAAATTTCTTTGGATCTTTTTATATTAAAGTAAAGTGATTTTTGTGGGCATATAGTACATCTAAAAAAATATTCTAAGAAATGTGAAATGTAGACTACATATTTATGATGCCTACTGATAACCCAAAGTATGTTGTAATTAGTTGTTATTGCTCTATGGTATTTACTAGTATTGCAATTGGTTGTATCTGAATTAATTGCAAACACCTGATCTACATAATCATAGTATTAAAGAAGGTTAAAAATCTCTTTAGCCTGAACTTATTGATTAAATTTCAATTATGTGAAGCTGGAGTAGCTGGAGTGGATACACTTAATACCACTCTATCATTTGTAACAGAGATATTTTTCTGTATACAAATTTGCTTCACAAGTTACTATGTGCAACATTAATCTTGTGCTTTTAATTATCTATGATTTCATGTCTAATAAAGTCATCCTGTTTCTTAATGTTTAGATACAGCGATGATTTACTTTTATTGGTTGTTTTTAAAAAGAAAATTTTTAATTTTATTTTTTAAATTACATAAGTTAAGTAAGTTTTATTAAAAATTATATAAATAGTTATATATAAAAATAAAGAATTTTTTTTTTTCTATAAAATGTAAATCTTTTGAAAAATTTGTACGATTAATTTTATAAAAACAACACTTTCAACAACAACTGTGTTTTCAATAAAATTAAAAAACAATAGTTATCAAAGTTAATAAAATTAATAATCAAATAAACATACAGAAACTTAAAGGCGACTATACATAGTGAATTACATGTGGATGAACGCCGCACCAGAGGGTCGAACAAAACACAAACATGCATTTATATAAAGTGACATACTGGTGAACCAACACCACGCTAGAGGTCTATACAGAACACAAACATACATATATATTAAAAAGCCCACTCACTAAACATCAGCGGTTTTATAAAGCAGTTCCGCTTTCTATTAATAAATAATTTTTACTTTTTTAATCTAACCATAAAAGTTTGGTTTCAAATAATTTGATGCAAAAAAAACTTACTTCTAGTTTGCAAAATACAAAACAAAATTATAATTTACTTAGAATCTAATATTCCTCATATATATTAGTTTATAATATAAGTAACAGTATAATAAACTGTAATATTTCTATTGTAACTCAATGATTTAATTATTTTTTTTGTTTATCTACAAGAAGAATTATTTCAAATATTTTATACTTTGCAAACTACGCAAAGCATAAAATGGTTATAAAAAATATTTACTTTTTTATTTATTACATAAATCAACTACCACTAATTTTATTAGAATCTTGTTGAAATAAAACATAAATACTTAAATAAAGAATTACATGATACTCTTTGATAAATTGAAGAACGTTTGTTTCTTTACTAAACAATCATTAATACTAAGTTGTTACTTTCTATAAAAATGAGTTGCTTAATTTTATAAAAAAATTATCAAAGAGAGGAATTTTTAGAAATAGTTTAGTTAGTTTAGAAATAATTAATTCTAAATGTAATTTACTTTGTTTTAGTTAGGTTTTTTTCTTTATTAAGAATTAATTTATTTTTTTAATTTTTTTAGTAGTTGTCTCCTGTCAGTCAATTTTTTTTTTTGCGCTTTCTGAAGTATTCTTAAAACATCTAAAAAGCTGTGGTCATGTTGTTGCAACTAAATTTTATATGAAATAAGATATGATATTAAAAACAAGATTCAGTCAAGCACTTAATAATTTAAAGATAATTAAAGAGAGTTCCAGGAAACACTTTTGCAAGACTATGGCAGAAATGTTGTCTGGAGTCATAGAAAAGTTTAAGCCAGAGTGACTTGGATGTTTAACAATTGTTCAACCTGTTTAACTGGAATGGCTGGATGAGTATGGCCATTAGATCCAAGAACCAAATTAGGAGAAAAAGCTATTTGCAAATAGTTTAGCCTTATTCTTGGAAGAGGTAATAAGTATTAAGATCGGTCCTATAAATGAAAGATGGAATGTTTGACTTACCTTTGTTAATGACATTGTTGAATTTTTTCCAAAAGTCTTTAGAGCCTAAGTTCTAAGATAAGATAAGAGATTTACCAAATTAGAAATAGAAAAAATAAGAAAAGCTTGCATCAGACAGCACCTTTTTACATTGATTTCTTGCAATATTAAAAAGGTGTTTATTTTAGTGTTGTTATGACTTTTAAATAATTAGGCTGTTGACTTAATTGAGGAATAAATTTTTTAAAGTGGAATAAAATCAACTAATACATTTTTGAAATCAACTAATTCGACTGAAAGTTGATTTAGTCGAAATATCAGAATAAACTTTTTTTTCGAAATAAGTTGTATTTAAAATATTAAGTGAATTAATATTCGCTTTTTATATTTTAACATCATTTAAATAATAATGAAATAAAACAATATGAGAGCAGGGCCAGTTAATACCCAGACCCCAATGATTAGGGATGACTATACTTGCTAAATGCTATATTTAGGCTATAAATGGGATCGTACTTGCTATATTTAGGCTATAAATGGGATCATACTTGCTTATACTTACTAAACAAACTATACTTGCTAAATATCAAAAAGTCTATACAATTATATTTATAAATGATTGTATAGATGACATTTAGAAACAAGTGGTGGGGATTGTTTTTTATGTTTAATATTATTGTTTACTTTAGGCACGGTTTAAGTTAAAGAGAATTTGACTCATTCCTTGATAGAGCATAGTATCCTAAGTGATGAGGTATGCAGTTGTCGTAGTCCTGCTAATAAACCCAAAGTTGCAACTTAGGGCTCCTTATATTTTATAGTTGCTGACAGAATCAGCCTTTCTGAGAATCAAAATAAAAATCTGGAAATCTTATTACTAGCCGATCTCAGAGCCATTAAAAACATACATATATAGTAAATTTTGGGTAACCAAGACACATCAAACAGTATAACAGACAAAAATAGATACCTCTATAGACATGACAGTTATTAGATAGTATTGATAACAAGTAGTACACTTCTTCTATCCTTTGCTTAGGAAGCAAATCCTACAAGACTACAAGACATAGAACAGGTTGCACTGGATTACATATTACCAGTAGCACGGTGATTATAATAACCTTTTTTTTGTTGTTGTTGTTAATTCACCTCCTCAAGGCCGAGAAAACCACTACAGACAAGGAGGCTACTTGTTTGTGGTTATAACCCTCTCTCAACTCTATAACTTCGAAACACGAACCTTGACAAACAAGGCCACTGCGCTGAGAAACAAGTTGATCGCAGTACTACCATATGCCTAACTTGACACTAAAATTTTTCAATGTTAGGAAGCTCTCCATCTTATAGACCACTGGTAGAATATTTCATGAGGTAGGAGATATATTGATTATAGATTTATCACTTTGGAGATAAGATAATAGTTTGGAGATAAGATAATAGTTATTTTACCAATCGAAGGAGAACATGTATTCTCCTTTGATTAGTAGAATAACTGTAATTTTTACTTTTATTCTTTACCTACCTTACCCATTTTAGTAAATATTTTATCTGGAAAAATAAAACTAGTGTATTATAAGTGGGAAGTGACTATTGTGTGATATATTCAATTGAGAAACAGCTGAAAATAGTTTTAACAAGTAGTTATACAAATAAAACAAAATATACTGCAATTTATTCTATAAAATTTAATCCAAAAAAGTACAAAGAAAAACTATTTATAACAACTAAAATGAATGAAATTTCTGATTTTTCACAAAAATCTAGTTGTATTAGACTTATCCTATAGTGCTAAAACGTCATTTTTGGCCAAAAAAGATTGAAGAGTATAGTGTGTGTTTTTTTTTCAGGCGT